AGTCCGTTGTACAGAAAACGTGCCATGTCGATCATATATTAAAATCAGTCACTGTGAAATGTCGTCCGACTAATATATACTGAATGCTCCCACATAATTTGCACCGAGCGTAAAAAAATAAATGATAGTGTTAAGTTGTGGAGAGAGGTTAATGATGGAGTTTTTTGGACTCGTAAAGGATGTTATCCGGAGAAGGATAAATTTGGGATAATTGGAATTCAAGTTGCTGGTATGTTTTTTTTTCTCTTACTTTTATTTTATAACAAATCTATTTTTAATATAAAACAAATTTTTATAGGGCGTGAATTACATCTTAATGTACTTATCAGGGATTCGGGTGATGTACACAGATATTTTCATCTTAAATCAACAAAAATCCCCATCCAACAAGCTGAAGAGAAAGATGTAACAGAATTCGTGGAAACTTTGTTGATTTTGCGGGTATGTTGTAACGAGAACACAACTTAGAGTTTTTACTAGTAGCTAACTAATTTATATTTTCATAGAATATTTTAGTAGTCAATATGAGTCTTATATTTCATGCACAGGTACCTAGATCACGTAGGCGTATGGAAAAAAGTTCAAATGTTTCCTCCGATCCTGAGTAGATTATAATTTATTTTTATTTTTTACTACATCAATAAAGCTGACCCTGGTGGTTGAATTATCATATATATACTGTAAACATATCAATTGTAATTATTTACCTCTAAATATCTGCATCATTCTACGTAATCAAAAATCGCTTTCACATCTTGCGTATTCTTATTTATGATAGTTATGTGATCTTCATCAATTATATATGTGTACTTATCTCGGTTTTGAAATTGCATATACTGTTTAGGATTGTTGGTGAATATTCCTAGAATTTTACATCTGTTATTTTTTAGATTTGCGAGACATATTTTCGTCATATCGGAAAATAAATCATGTTTGTATTGTATGGACATCGATATTTCACATATGATCAAGAATTTTTTCAGATAATTAATATTTAACTCATGAGACAATATTGTGTAACTGATAAATTATAGCGGAGCTAGTTTCACTAAAACGTTAGCGCCCAAAAAGGCACTCAATATTTTATTAAGAAAATATATATAAAGACATATATTTAAAAACATATATTATTATTTTTTTGTTTTGCCGGCACCTGCATTTTCTGTGAAGCCAGATCCTCCAGCATCCCTGAATACCAATTATAAACGTACCCCTTCTACTGTATGTTCTTCTGGTTGACCCAGATTTTCAAAGACATTACTGAGAGATATTTCTTCGTTATTGACCTTTAAATATGCACCATTTTCTACTTTTTGAACTGATCTATAATTATACAGAATGGTGAAAATGAGATATATATGGAAAACAAAAAGCGGTTCATTATAGAACAATTAGAGAAACCATGTAACTTACAACGTAGTAGATTCACCTTGTTCTTTTTTTAGCGTTTCTTCGTCTATTTTTTTATCTCCCCCGTCATGAACAGCGAGGTAAATTTCATCCAGTCCCACTATGTAAAA